ATTTAGCAGACTAATTAAATTTCTTGCTCTGGTAAAGTACTTCTTCCCAGAGTTTACTTAGCCTTTTGGTAAAGAGCTCAGCTGTTGAGACTAGAAGGCTGAGATTTGAATTAAAATCTTATTAACTTGTATGCAACAGTAAGTCCATTTGCAGTGGAACAACTCTCCTGTAGAACACGGACTGGTCTGTACAATCATCTCTGAAGAAACCTACCATGGGTTTATGCCCAAGTTGTTCCTGAGGAGAAGTTGGAAAAATTTTTTCATAAAAAATACTGTTCGTTATTTAGAATACAGGGCATCACAATGAACATGCTACTCAGTAATTTTATAACTGTTGTTATTATTGTTCTCAATAAGCAAGACAGACACAAGCAATGATTGGTTCAGTTGGAGGGTTCTTACTTTCCATGTAGGAGACCCAGGTTTTACTCCTAGCCAATGTGCCTTAATTAATAGCCACCTATCACATAACCTTGGATGTCAGTCAGTTTCTATGATGCCGAACAAGCTTCAAAGGGGCTTCCAAACTCAGGTGGGCTGGGCAGAGAAAGACCTGGCCATCTTCAGCCTCAAACCCAGCCAATGGGTCGCAAAGGCTTGATCCCACTGTAAATGGAAGTCACCAAGGACAATAGGGTCAAACAAAAGCCTTCTTATTGTTTTCTTTACTTCATCTGCATGCCTTTATTTAAGTTATTTACAAAGACAGCAAATGGGAAGGAATTTATCATATAAATATGACATCAGAATGTCAGATCCAAACATCCTCACTTCAAGCTGAGTGTAGTAACTGAATCTACAAGCCATCATTAGGAAACTACAGCAAGCCAATTTATTCTGTTAATTTGTCTTAGGCTAATTTTTTTTTCCTCGCCAGACAGATTACTTCCGTTCTAAGAACCAACTGCTTTTTAATCCTAGCCAGGTTATTGCTAAGGATAAGTGATTTCACATTTCTCATAAAGATGCCAGTCATTAAGAATATTAACACAAATTCCTCCTCCTTGAATAAAAGAAGTGACCTGTCATTTTAGCAGTGTCGCTGTGTCAGCCTTTCCATTGTCAAGCCCACAAATAATGAGAAAATCAATTTATGCTGTAGACTTAGTCAAGTGAGGAATCCTTTGAAGTGGGAGTGCAGGGTTTTCCCTGGAATGTGAAATCTCATCAAGCAGGTACTGGATGCATATGGGTGAAATGCTGGGAAACATAGTGAGGACTGTTTATTGGGTTGGACCTGACTCAGTGACAGAAGACTTTTCATTTGTTGCCACAAGAACTGATGGATAGGGTCTAACTCTTAGAAATAATTTCCCACTTCTGAAACAGAGTTTGATGCCCTGGCAAAACTCATGGCTTAAGTGATGCCTTGTCCAACCGAAAGAATATATTTGATCTATATCAGGTACAACACAGAAGAGAAGGGGAGCAATCACTAGCTTTTCATATTGAGATGGGCTGCAGACTTTGAACATGTGTATTTCATTCATAAGGCTTCTTTTATAAGGCAGAATGCAAATGAGCTTTTAATTAATATGTTCAATGGCTGGCAAATGTAGCAAGTGCTGTTTATGAAACAATTTACATTTTCACTTTGTAGCCTAAAAATAAGTGGAGGAAAACATTTCAGTGGGTGGCCACAACTCTTGTCTCTAAGACAGGACCAACTTGCTGGCACTCAGCAACACCACCACCAGCAGAAGCAGCAGCAATAACAACAGGCCCTGGCAATGATTTGTGACTTCTACAATCTGGTTTCTCCTTCCAGGTTTCCATAAAGGGAAGATTAGATGATGGTTCAAGAATGACAGGTATTTAATATTTGGAAATGACTGCATTGTGGAGTGCTATGATTCTATAGAAATGGTGAAGAGTGAAGATTACTTTCAAACCAAAGCCTAGTATAAATATGACCTCCTATTGTAAATCTTATGAATAGGAACAGAAATTACATCCTATGGCTTTGTTTCTGGGCTTAAGAATATGAAAATATATTTCATATCTGAATACTTCAGATAGCGGTGGGGGGAGATCTGTTCATTGTAATCTCCTTTCTGTGGAGATGGGAAAAATTCTTTCTGTCCAACATTACTGAGAAAATGCCTTTAGTAAAGATGTAAATGACAGCCATGGAAGAGGCCTTTCTATTCTTGTGCCTGTAGGCACAGTTGTGGTTGTGGCTGTAGTTGAGCCTTCTGAGAAAAGAGAACAATTCTATTGCTCCCCAAAATCTCCAGGTGACAATGATAAAAATAAAGATAGCAGATGGGAAAGCTTAAGGGTCTTGAAGTCAATGCAGGCCAGTTCCGGCTGACATCATTTCAGCTGAAATTCATTTATGCCTTGCAAAACTCCACAGGAAGGAATAATCAGTAGTTGGTCTCTACAAATGCCCCATTTAATGTTAGCATTAATGGCTGATGGGCCAGCCATGGTGGCTGGTGTGACACTTGTATTCCCTTGCTCACATCTGACCTCTTGGAAAGAAATGTCTTCACATGTATAGTGTCTTAGGGAGGAGAATGTAGGAGATGATCACATTTGACTATGCTGATAAATGTGGAGTTCAAATAGCTTTTCCAGCAATAGTACTTACACATTTAGTGAGATAATTTATGGAGAAATAAACTTTCTTACTATACTATTTTTATTTGAATCAAAAGGCAAGGGAGCTCTTCCAGACAAATGATGGATTCAGTCCTTCAACTGAATGATGCCTTTGAATGGTGGTGTTTGCCAAGAGTACAGACAATCCCAGGGACTGCCAAAAGACCAAGTCTGTCTTGGAGGAAGTGCAACCAGTGCCTATTAGAGACAAGGATAGTGAAACTTGTTCTCATATACTTTGGGCATGTCAAGAGGGTTCAGTCCTTGGCAACAGACATCATGCTGGGAAAGGTCAGAAAAGACTCTCACCAAGACAAATTGATGCAGTGACTGCAATAATGGGTTCACATACTCATCAGAGATTGCAAGGATGGCACAGGTAAGGGCAAAACTCAGGTCTGTAGTTTATAGGGTCACTATGCATTGTAGTCAACTTGGTGGCACCTACCAAAATCACAACAAAGGCCGAGCAACTTTAGACTGTAGTAAAAGGGCTAAAAATTGGTGAAGTATAGGTGTTCACATCTCTTTTTCAAAGAGGATAAGCTCAGGACACATAATGAGATCAGAGAGCTCAACCCTGCAGTAACCTTGAACTTTCTTTGCAACTTAGCAAGTGAAGAGATAAGGAGCCCAGGGTACCAATGGCTTTTTAAAAAAAACCTAGGCCCCTTCGGTTATTCCTGGATTGGCAGCATTAATTGTAAAATCTTGTTCATGGCATTTAACCCTTTTAGTCCCCAAACATTGTAATTGTGTAATAATGTTGTAAAACCAGATGTCAAAACCAGAACAACTTTTCAGTGCTGTAGAATCAGTTCTAACTCGTAGTGATCCTTCACTGGCTTTGCAAAGCTGCCATCTACTTCCATAGAGAAGCTGGTGGATTCAACTGCCAGACACATACTCTTTGGGTTAGCCCTGCAACTTACTAGGGACTCTGAGCATTTCCTTACAAAGACAGGTTGTTGTGGTGGTGGTTGATTACCTTTGAGTTGAGCAAGACTCACAGCGACCCTACGAACGAAAGGCCTGAAAAAAAGACAGGAATTTTTAAAAAATAAATTGCAATCCCTCATTTCAGACAAAACCTAAAGGTACTTTACAAATAAGACAGAAATGAATCTTCTTTATTTGAATCTAAATAGAACCGCAACCTTGCTTATCTGGCCTACTCACATTTCCCCTCCCCAGGTCCCAAACATCCTTTTTTTTTTTTAAACGATTAATGATATCTTTTAATGCAACACACATATATATATTTTTATAGCATATTCTTTCCATTTAATATTTTCTCCACTCATTCATTGTTGCACATTTTCCTCCCTGTCCACCTCTCCCCCCAGTTCGTTTCCTTCTTTGAAAAGAAAAAGAAAACTTGTTATTATACAACACCCCCACCCGCACCCCCAGTCCACTTTACTATGCCTTTCTTTTTCTGGTATCTTGTCAAAAAAATAATACCTAATCCTATATTTCTTTTAAGAGTTCTCTCCCTCATCTGTTTCAATGCAGTATACATTATTTATCCCCTCTTTTATTAGGTTTCCTCCAACCCCGATATCAGTCCCATTTCACAACAGTGGTACTATGCAGTATTTTTCCTTTTGTGACTGAGATATTTTACTCTGCATAATGTCCTCCAGTGTCACCCATTTTGTATACTAGTTCATGAGTTCCTTGTTTTTCAATGCAACATAGTATTCCGTTGTGTGAACATACCAGAGCTTCTCTATCCATTCATTTGTTGATGAGAACTTGGGTAGTTTCCCACTCTTGGCTATTGTGAACAAAGCCACAATAAACATGGGTGTGCCTATATCTTCTTGGGTGACAGTTCTGGTTTCTTTAGGGTATATTCCCAGTAGTGGAATTGCTGGGTCAAATGGTATTTCTATTTGCAACTTTTTGAGAAAAAACTGTACAGCCTTCCATAGTGGTGTTGCATCATTTTACATTCCCACCAACAGTGGAATAAGGGTTCCAGTGTCTCCACAACCTCACCAGCATTTGCTGTTTGTGGCTCTGTTGAATTTTGCTATTCTTACTGGGGTGAGATGATATCTCTTAGCTGTTTTGATTTGCATCTCTCTTAGAGCTAGAGATATTTAACACTTCTTCTTGTGTTTGCCATCTGAATGTCTTCTTTGGTGAAGTATCTGTTCCTGTCTTGTGCCCATTATTCAATTGGTTGTTTACCTTTATCTTGTTGTGGTGCTTGAGTATAAATTCTAGATATAAGTAGGTCCCTTATCAGACATGTCATTACCAAATATTTTCTCCCAGTCTGTGGCTTCCCTTTAAACACTGTTGGAGAAGGTTTTGGATGTGCATAGGGATTTGATCCTTAGAAGATCCCATTCATTTATTTTATCTTCTCCTGGTTGTAGTTTTTTCAGGCTGCTTGGAAGACTGTTTATGTTGTGGATTAGGACTTCTGGAGTTCTTCCAAGCTTTTCTCTAATGAAGTTTATAGTCTTTGGTTTTAGTCCTAAGTCCTTGATCCACTTTGAGTTGTTTTTTTGTATATGCAGTGAAGTACGGATTTTGCTTGAGTTTTCTGCAGATGGTTTTCCAATTTTGCCTGTGCAGAGCAGATTATCCGAGAGGCGGGGCTCTATGAGGAGAGGCGTGGCGTTAGGATTGGTGGACGATCTATCAACAATCTGCGTTATGCAGATGACACAACCTTGCTC